ACCCAATTGTTATACACAAAAATAGCAGTCTCCAAAGTTCAACATCATTAAAGTCAAATTAGGTGAACTATCGATGAATTTGTTTGTTTGACAGAATAATTTGTCGCTAATTTTAAAAACTTTCGAGGACTCATTTTATACTTTACTATTTATTCATAAGCTGCGGTAAAGTAGGCTGTGAAGAAAAAATGAAAATTCTGACAGTTCATAATCACTATAGTTGCGATATTATTGGTAAAGTTATTGTATTCACAATAATATCACACTAGTGATTATGACCTGTCAGAATATCAGATTTTTTTGCACAGCCTACTTAACCGCAGCTCGTGAATTAATAGTGGAGAATAAAATGAGCCCTCAAAAATGTATGATACCATAGACAAGTGATTCTGTCACAACAAATCTATCGATAGTTCACCTAATTTGTTGTGTAATTGAAGACTGTTGATGTTTTGCATTAAAATTGAATTTTGAATTATAAGTTCAATAAAAATGCCTCGAAATGGAGCTGAATATTTCAAAACTTGATAATAAACCATCTGTCAAATTAGATGCGCACTCGTAAAAAGTAGGTCACTTATCTAATTTTTTCCCGCTCTTTCCAAATATCAAAACAGACCTTCAAAATTTTGCCATAAAAGGTGTTGTTTTCGAGATAAAAGAAGTTTTCTGTTTTTCGTCAAGACGGACCTGGATTCTGATCCGGATTTTTATATGGTTTTGATGGGTAATATAAGTGGAATATTTCTACCAAGTATGGATGAATTATACAAAGTGGTTCAAAAGTTATAACCAGATGAAGATTTTGCCAAAATCAAGATAACGTCCTGTGTCTCAGTTATAAAAGACGGTAGACATATCAATGTGTGGTGAATTGGAACCACCGAAGTGTCCCCTATCTACAGGTATCATTTGTACATTTCAATCTGAAACACCCTGTATAGTCAGTTATGATTTTTACATAGAACGAAATATCCAGTATTCCTCTTTTGAAACACTTGTATCTTCCTTCAAAATGTGGTTATCGACTTGAATAAAAAACCATCATGTAGAGAAGAGATCACTCTTCAATCCAAAACAAAATGAAGATAAGTTAATCCAACCACCTTTCCCACAGGGCGTTAAAAAGTTAAGGGTGAAAAAGTAACTTTCGTTTTTCCCTGTATAATGATCGAGTCATCAGATTTTCTAAGGAACTAATATTCAGGCTAACATTTGGAAACATGAATCTACGATTTGGTCGGAGTTTCACCAAAATCGGACCGGAATTGAAAAAGTTACAGAGCAAACAATTTGCCTGAATTATTTTTTTTTACCGGTGAGTGTATAGTTTACTGCTCGTCCTTGTGATTTCAGCGGATAAGGCTCCTTATTTAATCACTTATGCGTAATATTATACAATAGTTGCAAAATTACGTTATGCTTGCCACTTATTACAGTTTTTTCGGTTGAATAGAGAAAGTTCTAATTTGAATTGAATCCTCTTCAAACAGACACTCTTACAAGGGGATATCCAAATGTAGCCTATTTAAGCATACCACAAAAAAAAACAATTCCATATGCAGCAGTTCAATGATTTCATGTCGGTCGGCCACACTTTTATATAAAATACAATTGATCACATGTAACCGGTTTCAGCTCTACGGCCATCATCAGAAAGGAGTACCAAACCTTATGGAGTTCATGAAGTAATAATAATAATAAAGAAATTGATCATATTCTATCAATGAAATTCGTCATCTGGATGTCAGATTAGGACCACTTGTGGACATCTTTAAATCCCCTCATTAGATTTGACATTAGACAACTTTGAGATATGGATGATTTTCATATTTGAAATGCACTTCTGATTATAACGATTGATGATGTTTAGTAGATACCTATAATTTCATTTGATTCCAGATAATTGTGTGTAGAATTTCTTTTCTCGTAATTTTTTCTGTGATTGTAATAAAGAATTACCTTTTTCTTGCATGCTAGTTCACAATTGTTTCGTTGACATTTTTTTTTATAAAGCTTTCTCTGCATTTACATTATATTGAAATCACTTGAGCCATTCTGATAAACAATTTTCGAAACCTTCAAAATCATTAGAAACAGATGAAACCAGGTTACTTTCAGAATAATGCTTTTATTGAATTTAAAAAGGGCCATCCTGTGTTACTTTTGTAATCCTGATTTGAAGATGAGATGTAAAAACACGGGAATCGGAACAAATGATATTCAGGGGAGGGGGGCACGTTTAGACAATTGTCATTAATGATTATTACAACAAATGTTGGTATTGTGAATACGTGGAAATCTCTTTTGATTGATTTCTGATCATAAAAGTTGATAGACATGGGTAATATAAGTGAACAATTGTCTTTCTCAAGACCAAATTTTTTGGAAGACTCTATGAAAAAATTTCAATAGGTATGAGATACAATAGTTATCTTTATTGATATCTTCAATCAATCAATCAATTTTATTATTCCCAAAGAACAACGTTTTTTTATAGCAGGGAACATCGTGAATACATAAATATATTTGACAAAATGAAATAAAGAAGTCAGTAAAAGAGTTCAATGTGGAAAAATTTGGATTTGGTAATTTCGTGTTGGTAATTTCGTGAATTGCCCTCGTATAATAGCATCAAGATTCCGTATGAAGTGCTCAATTTTTTTCGCGTGAGATCTGCTAATTGAAGTCATAATCGAGCAACTCTATGTAACCGGTGCTTACATAACAATAATTATGAAATATTATGCACGATATTTGAGAATGCAATAATACTTAGAATATTTGGATACTATTATTCAAACAAATAATAAATTACCTTGCAGAAAAATTCATAGAATATTTAAACTTTGGGTAAATTACGATTTTGAGTTATTCTTCTTGTCATTGTAATATAAACATGAAATATTTGACCAATTTTTAAAATATGTTTCCACATTTTTTTTAATGATCTGACATTCTGACTAAGCATTTATAACTTTGTGATTTGGAATCCTAACTTGAACTAAATATTCTAATTTAAACTCAAAATACAGACTCAGTGGTATAGTGTCACCATTTTGTCACCATTTTGACCTGTCTCTTCGGCAAAAATGTTCCTCAATCATTGTATGTTTTCTTATTGTTTTCTTTTATCCACTTCATTTGTCTCTCACTTGTAACCCATGATTTTTCAATTTTTACTTTTATCCCAAAATGTTTGCGACTTGTGATTCATTCAATCAATCAATCAATTAACTTTATTATTCCCAAGAAACAACATTTGTTTATAGCAGGGAACATAGTGAATACATAAATATATTATATACAAAATAAAATAAAGAAGACAGTAAAATAAGACTCACACTCAAAAAGAATCTTTTTTTTTTCAAGTTCAAATAAAAATGATCCTCAATTGACTCAGCTGTTAGGTATACACAATTGAAAACTATCGTAGTTGTACAAGAAAACTATAAAAATGAGATAAAATGTCAATATTACAGGAGTAGATGTTTCTTGAATTCTCTTCTAAATTTTTCAATCCTATTAATCAGCTTCAGTTATTTGGTAGTGAATGAAGAATACTTAGGTTAACGAGGTTTCTGGATGAAAGATTAACAGACATGAATTATTCTTATTCGTATTAATTGAACGAAAATAATGAAAATCGAGTTTCAGTATCATAATGTTGATTGAAAAATTTCGAAAAAAAATTGAAAATAAAATCTCACTAATTTGAAATCCGTTACCATTTTCCACCACAGAAAAAAAATCACCCACTCCCACAACTGCTTCGCACCATTTTCAATGACTGCCGCTCGTCAAAATTTGTGAATTCAAGATGGCGGATCCAATATGGCAGACGAGGGACGAGTTTCGTAATTATGATCTGATTCTATCAAAAATTGGTATCTAGGGGTTTTCGAGGTCGGAACTTATGATTCTTTCGTCAAAATTGGGAAATTCAATATGGCGGATCCAATATGGCGGACGGGTTTTCTAATCATGATAAGTGATTCAATAAAGAATAATGTGTATCTGGGGGATTTCGGGATCGGAGATTATGATTCTTCCGTCAAAATTGGGAACTCACAAAAAATATAAAAACTGAAAAAAAAACAGCTTTTGTTAGCCGTACTAAAAAATTTAAATGAATATAGGTTTGAAAAACTAAAGAAACACGCTCTTATAGGTAGTCAAACTAAAAAGAAGTAGGGTTAACGATTCACAGACATGAATTATTCTAGTTTATATAAAAAAAATAGGTATATGAAAAAATCAAAACTACAAATTCTCACCCATAATTTGAAATCTGTCAATATTTTCCGCCACAGAAAAAAAATCACCCTCACCCACAACAGCTTCGCACCATTTTCCCGCGGACAATGAATGCCGCTCGTCATAATTTGTAAATTCAAGATGGCGGATCCAATATGGCGGACGAGTTTTGTAATTATGATCCGATTCTATTCAAAATTGGTATCTGGGGGTTTTCGATGTCGGAGATTATGATTCTTTCGTCAAAATTGGGAAATTCAATATGGGTGAACGGGTTTTGTAATCATGATCCGATTCTATAAAAAAATTGGATCTGGAAGTTTTCGGCATCGGAGATTATGATTCTTCCGTCAAAAAATAGAGAATGAATATAGTATAGTTTGAAAAACTAAAGAAACACGCTTTTTATGTAGTCAGAAGTAGAGTTAAAGATTCACAGACAAGAATTATTCGTTAGTATAATAATTGAATGAAATTAATGAAAATTGAGATATAATATTACAATATTGTTGAAAAGGAATATTCTCAGATATAATTATGAACATAAAAAAATGGATATAATTATGAAGAAATACATTGAGAATTCGCATTCTCTATGTGATGAAAATATCAATTCTTTCTCGGTCTATTCGATTTAGAATTTCTTTCCACGTCCTGTATGATGAATGTCAATTTATCATACATCCAAGAATTACAATATTGATTAAAAAAAATATCGAAAAAAAAAATGAAAAAAAACTCACCCATAATTTAAAATCCGTCACCATTTTCCGCCACAGAAAAAAAAATCACCCACAACAGCTTTGCACCATTTTCCCGCGGACAATGACTGCCGTTCGAATCCCTCTTACGTTTCCACTTATGCCGAGAGACTCAAGGTCTCCTATTGTCCGGCCTCCTTGGCCGTTTCATTCACATGTCGTTGTTTTTTCTTCTCGGAAACTTGCACTATGCAAATGCGACAGTATTTTCGGCCTCACTCGGTACAACAGCCTAACGACGAAACGACCGGCATGCGACTCCGAACTAACCGCGGACGGACTTTGGCGGGGAAGGTTAGAGTTGGAGGTATTTTCGTGGGATGGAGGTGTTTCCCTAGCAAAGGATCCCGCACTTTCCTTATGGAAAATAACTTTCGTTTGAATTCCCTTCATTTTTGGTATAATGTAGATTTCGACTTCCTTAGCAAAAGTGTCCATGGGCACCAATAAATCGGCTGACTAGTTTTCGAGATACAGGGTGTCAAAGATGAAAAGTGAATACTGTCTGTAGGTTAATCGAGGAGGTGGTACAATCATTATTCCAAATATTTTGGGATTTTCTTTCCTCGTTTCCATAAAATAAAAATATGAATATTATTTCAATATACGTGTAGTAAGGACAAATCAGATGATTTGCCCCAAAATGTCACTGCGTTTAAAGAATTTTATTATCAGAGAGCCTGAAAGAAAAATTCACTACGTTGTCAGTAACAATTTGTATTGAACAAAGTTTGGAGAAAAGAAATAAAGGTATATAGAAAAAATATCAAATTGTCACTTATCTTTGGACGTTTCACGGCCGAATCTGCTCCCGTTTTCAACATAAGAAATGATTATTTTAATAGCAAAGTCGTATCTGTCTTGAAGCTTTTCAGTTTTCATTGACAATGGGCTTATATCACAAAAAAATTGTATTTCATAATTCGATAGAACTCACCCAAACTAGCTCACCACCGCAAACCGTTTCTTGCTGTGAGCTCACTACGTTTTATAAAAAATTATTGAAATCCCCGATTTTTCGGACCTCTGAAAACGAGGCGATGATGTGACGTCAAAACCCTAATACTGAAACAAGACTATTCCAGACAAAGATGAGTGATACATGATTTCTGACAGAGTGAATTAGCGCGAGATCACAGTTGAAAGAATTAATATATCAGTTGCCTCAGTCTCCGCCAAGCTTTTGGTATTTTCTTTTAACTATGGCGAGATGAGGTTTCTACGTCATAAGAGGGTCCGTTTTCAGAAGGTACTATTATGTATATCCAAAAATAAAACATGCCAGTTAATTTTTCGATCGAATTATGTCTTCAATCATCATTTATGTATAAAAGGATCATTATAAACATGGTTTGAGTTAAAAGTTCTACTAATAAGGTGTACACGCCCATTGGTGACGTTGGCAATCAAATGAGTGTGTTTTCAGGATGTTTTCATTAATTAATCTTGAATTTACCATTTTCATGTTCAGATTTTAGTAGTGAATACCATGTTCTGTCTATATCAACTGAACAAGAAGCAATGCTATTGTCTCCGTTCAGAAGAATGCAAGCAGATTCCTTGATTTTTCTCTTCTGGTTGTTATCTTCTTTTCCATTCATTTTAATATTATTCCACTCTGCCATATGACAACATCATCAAAAATTACCAAAAACAACCTAAAACATGGTGGCGATACGTAGATGATATTTTCATAATTTGGCCACATAACCTTATGGAGCTAGATAATTTTCTGGGGTATGTGAACAATGCCGAACCTACCATAAAATTCACCTTGGAAATTGAATCTAATAATTCAGTTACCATTTTCAGAAGTTCTTATTGAAAAATCAAATAACATCTTTGTCACAAGTGTATATCGTAAAAAGACCCATACTAACAGATACTTGAACTTTCAATCAAATCATCAGAAAAGTATTAAAAAAAGGAATATAATCAAATCACACCATGATAGAGCCAAATCAATATCATCTGGGAGTCGTTAATCTATGCCACGTTTATTGAAATAATGAATGTACAGGGTGATTCACCATAAATGTCCCCCCCCCCTATAGCTCACTTATTTTTGAACCGATTTGAAAATTTGAGAAATAATCTAGAATGGTTTTTCAGAAATTTTGTTCCCGTTGCATCAGAAAATACAGGGTGCTCGGAACAAATGATCTACAGAGTACTACTTGATCATTTCAAATGGAAAACCCTCTATTTCATTATCTTCTTAACTTCTTCCTGAAGAACTGATTCTATCAATGTATCACACTTGGGGTCTAGCGGGAATGAATACAGAGATATAGGGTGTTCAAAATCGAGATTTTTCAACTATAGGATTTTTTTGTGTCGAAACTATTCATTATTGGTCAAAACGGCTTGTGTGTCCTTATCTCAACTTTCGATTTACGAGAAAAAAAAATGAAAAATGGGGTGTTCCATTAAAAAAATCAAATAGTTCCCTGTAGATCGTTTGTTCCGAGCACCCTGTATTTTCTGATGAAGCGGAAAATAGTTATTTATGTAATAAGGATCATAAAGACGATCATTATGGTACAAGTCGTGAATGTTATCGGGCGAGGCGTAGCCGAGTCCGATAACACGGCGTGTGCCATAATGATTGTTTATGATTCGTATTACATACAAAATTTTATCTGATGGCATTTATATCAATACATTTTCGAAAAATTAAACTGCATTTTTGACATGTCACAATGACAACTATTTTTAAAGGAGTAAGTATTGTGTAGTTTCAAATATTAGTAGGTGAGTGAGCTGTGCTTTGCCATTATATTAATATTACAAATTGTAGTAATTGTTCTTTTACCATTTATAATAAATAGTTTTGTACATAGTTATGCATTTTGAATAAACTTTTTTGATCAAACCATTACATGTTTTCCTTATAGAATTTCATTATGGTACTTAGTACCATAATGAATTCATTATGGTACTTAGTCCCATAATGAATTCATTATGGTACTTAGTCCCATAATGAGCTTCCTTATGTCATCAAAATTGAGTGACATAACGTTGTCATTATGACATGCCATCAGATAAAAACATTATCGACAATCATTTAGGATGATATTTCAAATTTTGAAATCGGTTCAAAATTAACTGAGAGAGAGGGGGGGACATTTATGGTGAATCACCCTGTACCTTCTCCAAAATTCCTTAAGTTCGGAAATTGTGCCTTATTTTATCATTGACCATATGACATTTTGATGCCATTACGTAACAAAATACGAAGTGGAAACAAGAAACATTGTGAATTTATTATTCATGAATATTCATAGTGCTCTAAGAAAAATACAACAATCAACTATGCTAATGACATTATAAAACAGCGAACTTTTTTTACAATACATTTTAATAAAATCTGCGTCAATATCGCGGGGACTGTATCAATTCCAATTCCACTTTCGATATTCAACGAGTATTATATAGCCATAATTGTCGATTATGTAACTGCATTCAGTGAACCAGGCCTTCAAACAGCTTTTATATACGTTCAGATACTTGCTATCCAAACTAACGTGCGGTCTATAAATATCAGAACATGAATGATGAAAATGATCGCCCAAAGAAGTCAAGGTTGTTACGTATATTTTAAAATCTTCCGAATTCCAAGTAAAATATTCATATTTGGTTATCCTTTATTTCAACAAATCGGAGAATAGTTTGAAAAGGAATATTCTCAGATATATTTATGAACACAAAAGTTGATATATATATACATTGTGTCCACCTTACGGACTTACCACCCCTGTAAAATCGTTATTATTATATTATGAGACCAATTTCAAAAAACCTTTTTTTGTTGGATAGGTATTTGAAATGACCATCCAACGAGAGAGTGATCTAATTCTTGGACTGTTATCGTGGCCAACTGCGACAAATTTCAATGACCCATATGCCAGAAAGTACTATTAGGGATTTTTTTCCACGAAAATTGATGATGGATTCTGAATCAGTACCACGTGGAATATACCTGTACCGATTTTCATCACCATAAATCGTTTATAATTTCCTTCATATTTCATTCGAGACTTCTCCGGCAACAAATTCAACTCTATATTTTTTTCCACCTCCCTTATTTCTGGAGGTGTAAGTACTTCCAGGTCGCTATCATTGTCCATTATATAATAATATGAATATACCGATATTTTTTCGCACAACTGTCAGAATTTTCATGAATTGTCAAACTATAATTATCATGGACAACTGCGAATTGTATCAAATTTCATTTTAATTGAACACTACAGGAAAAATAAAGAGATTGTGGGAATTGTAATAATTTGCAATTACAATATCCTCCTATATCATTATGAACAATCGGAGAAAAAATTATATGTTCAACTCGGCAGCAAAGTAGATTGACTGTCTTAGCTGGATTCCTAGCCTCGCTACGCTCGGCTATGAATTCAGCCTCGGCAAGCAATCTACTACTTTGCTGCCTAGTTAAACAAATAACTATTTCAGATTAAACTCGTCATTCGATAATTGAAGTATTTTTTTCTCTAGTGAAAAAGAGTTGAATTCAGCACACAAAATGAAAATCTTAATTCTGAACCACCCTGTACCTATTTCAATTAAATATCAATTGATAGTTAATAAAAAGTTGAGGTAGGCAATGGAAACAGTTTTGACCAATTATGAATAGTTTCGACACATAAAATCTTGAAGTTGAAAATTCTCGATTTTTCACACCCTATATCTCTGTAATTGTCACTGCTAGACCCCAAGTGTAATAGGTCAATGAAATCAGTTCTCCAGGGAATATCTGAAAATGGAATAATATACAGGGTGTCCCATTTAAAAATCGAAGTTGTTGCTACTTTTCAATATAAGAGGCAACGTCGCAGTTTCGAGAATATTTTAGGGGGACACAACATAATTATCCAAGAAACCAAATTGTCAGTATAATCCTACGTTGCGTTCCCCAGAGACGTCTAATGTGCCATCCACCGTGAATCTGCCTGTATATCCGGGAAAAATGTAATTTATGAAAAGTGACATTTTGTTACCTGTCAATTGAGATGAAATGTCAAACTTGTTTCGCGCCACAGAAAACATATTTTTTTTCTGTGACGGGAAAAAAGTTTGGCATTCCATCTCTGTTGGCAGGTTATAAAATGTCACTTTTCATGCATCACTTTTTTCCCGTGGGAAAAAAGTGAGTACTTTTTTCCCGGATAAATATCACATATATATACACTGTTGATGGCTTTTGTTGTGCTATAGTTC